TACAGGAACATTGTGAAGGACGGCAACACCAACCAATAAACCGAACTGTACAAGACTTAGGCTTCATTTACATAACTATATATAACATTTGCATATGCAGATTGTGAAGATACATAAACGTCGGAAACAAAACAACGATGTAAAAAAAATGAGTAATAGTAGAAAGTTTAATCTCCATCACCAATGTGACATATGAAGTATAAAAATAAATATATATAAAACGTAGTCACACACAGCTCTCTAAGTAGGAAAGGTACCCAGACCCCAACATTACCAACCATCCTTCTCTTGGGGTGAGCTACTGACCAATGAACGTGTAGTGAGGACAGTACTGCTGACACCTATGACAACACATGCGTGCCACTGGTGAGCAATCACTAGAAAGGTACAATTTTTGTACCCATGAGAACGTGAACAGAAATAAAAAAACACTCAAAAGCTGACCTCTGTCCTTCCCTTCCCTTCAGTCTTCTATCTGACCTCCGTCCTTCCCTTCGGTCTGACCTCCGCCCTTCCCTGCAGCTCTTCGGTCTGACCTCCGCCCTTCCCTGCAGCTCTTCGGTCTGACCTCCGCCCTTCCCTGCAGCTCTTCGGTCTGACCTCCGCCCTTCCCTGCAGCTCTTCGGTCTGACCTCCGCCCTTCACTGCAGCTCTTCGGTCTGACCTCCGCCCTTCACTGCAGCTCTTCGGTCTGACCTCCGCCCTTCACTGCAGCTCTTCGGTCTGACCTCCGCCCTACTGTTATCAAAACAAAAAGGTCTGCACATTAGATATCCAGCTTGGGCCCTGGGGGCCTGCACCATAGATATCCAGCTTGGGCCCTGCACCATAGATATCCAGCTTGGGCCCTGCACCATAGATATCCAGCTTAGGCCCTGGTGCCTGCACCCTCATTTTCACCTTGGGCCCTGGGGGCCTGCACCATAGATATCCAGCTTGGGCCCTGAGGCGTCTGCACACAGTTTTTATACAACCAATTCTGCTATCACCTTAGATATCCCGATGCAGATTGCCTTCGCTTAGCATAACACAGAGAGAGGTGAGCGGCAGGAATGCAGACCAAGCCGAAGCCTGTGCACAGGACATTGTATGGATGGAAATGAACTGATCTCGCTCACGTTACACAGACACCATTTCTATGCGAGAAACGTCTCCAACTTTATTTTATCAGAACG